AATATTACAGTTGAGAAATCGATGTTGACATTCCTGACAGAAAGTAGAGCAGATTGTCATGCTGTATTAGTTCAGTTACAAACACTGATTTTACATCCATCCTGTAGCTACAGTCCGGTCTGGATGATGTGTTGATGAGTTAAACCACTAAATATGTAAATATGAAAATTTCAAAAGGATATAATAATTCAGTTTGATGTTCATGTAGCCTGTGATCGTTGAAGCACTTTCGTACGCAACGATGCCATCTGGTGGTGTCATGTAAGACATAAAAGTGCAACGCCATCAGGAATCAGTGCAATTTTAGAACCAGCAATGTTGACTTTGGGTCAAAGTGGCCAAAAATAATAAACAGTTAAAAGATGTTCATACAGTATAAAACAGTGAATGTAATAAATGTATAGTACCTAATACTTTATACTTTTAAAATATTTTCTTAGTAGTTATAAACAATCACTCTTGGTATCAACACCCTTGTTTATGCAAAGGAGAAAAAAACAAAAGTCAAATCAAGAAAAATAGGTTTATTTAAAGGTTTTCAAACATTTTAAATGTAAAATTTGACCATAAAACAATTTTTTGATTGATTTCAAACAGAGAAAAAGATACTGGCCTTCTCCAGATCTACTGTTAATGCCCAACCCAGAATGTTTTTTATAATATATATATATATTATCAAAGGTTTCTGCAGGTGCAAGTGTGATATCAGTAATATTTATTGAAACAATAGTGTGTCATGTGACATTTTTCACTTGCTGTCTCCCTCTGCCTTGTTCTTGTCCCGTGGAATACGTCCCATATTGTAAAATTCCAGGTTGGGCCTCATGTCAGTGAGGTGGGCCAGTCGATTGGACATGGCAAAAAAAGCAGCAACGGCAGCAATGTCCCAGGCATCCTCACGGTCAAAGCCCACTTCCTCCAGTGACTTGAAGTGCTCCTCGGTGATGGTGTCGCTGTGACACACGGCCATAGCAAAATCCACCATAGCTCGCTCCCGAGGTTCCAGCTCTGCATTCTTATAATTCACAATAACCTGGGTGAAGGTACAGAGATAAACATGAATTATAAACACAAGGACTGGCCAGTAAATGAGGACAAAATGTGAGTGTTGAAAATATATGAAAGATAATTTATGCCTGATCAGAAAGAGTGGGTTTCTTAGAGAAGATACGGTGCAGTGCACTGTGGGCTATCACACAATAGAGACACTCGTTGTGTGCACTGGTTGCCACGACAATCAGCTCTCGGTCTGCTTTGGTTAATTTGCCTGAAAGACAGATTAGGAAATACAGGATCAGGGGAAATACAGTAAATACAGTAACTCTTATGTTAATAAAAAAACTCAAATTTTATAGCTTTACAAATTATATATTAATATGTAGTAGTATAAACATTCTCAACTGTATAAATATTTGGGAAACAGTGGCAGTTCTTGTGTTGAACATCATTCCCATCATCAGTAACACCCACCTGTCTCCTTGTTCATCAGTTCATTGTAGTAGGCAAAGAAGGCTCTGAACTCTGCTGGTCTGTGGGAAAGTACTTTAAACACGTTTGGTAAAAAACCTCCCTGTAAACAATAATAAAAAAATAGGTTTAGTAGTCAGCAGCGAATAATAAAACACATGAGCACTAAAATATATCACAGCTATTATACTGTACTTTTGTTTCAACTTCTTCCATCAGCTCCACGATATCGTACGGTAAGTCCTTCTTGTTTGGGACTGGGTAGCGGCTAATTCTTTCTGGACGTAGGTCACTGGAAACGTGTCTGCTCCACACCGCGGACGCTGCCACCTTCACTCGCTGCTGGAGGCACGACTGACTGGGAAAAGTCTGAAGCAGCGTGGACTTCAGAGGTCGAAAAAACCTGGTGACGATGTGACTGGCCATTTCTGTGTCAGTGTCAGACGTATGTATTTATCTTGTCCTGTGGCCCGACTGGAAATACTAGAATTACGGAAGCCGCGATGAATCTATTTTTGTAACTTTGATTTGATACTTGTGGTAAGTGCGTCAAAATATAAACGGTAACCTTCGGGAAATATCACGACAAACGTCAAAATACACATATACACAACACACAAAAGCAATTCATTGACACTACTCCAAACGATTTTTAATCTGATTATATCTATTTTAAACTTGCGTAAATCAAACATTTTAATTAGTTTGCCCAGCTTTGACGCCAAATCAAAAACAAATTAAAACAAAACACAACAAACAAAATAATAATAAAAAAACCAAATCACTAAGCAAGTATGGGATAAAACCCACTGACGTTAACGCCTCTCTTGCACTGCTCCTCCTGATCGCCAGGGGTCAGTTTAAATTGCGTTCAACAACTTTCCAATGGTTGTAATTTCGCTGACAAAATGCCTCAAAATACATATAAAGCTATTTTCACAATACAGTCTTTAAAAACAAAATCATTTATTTATTTTTAAAGAAGCAAATCTGACGTAAAACAACAAACAGAACGATCACAAAATATTTTTTGTCAGGCAAACAACAGGCATCCTGTGACCCGGAAAGGCTTTGTTGTGAAAGAGCGACCGTTTTGGAGTGTTGTGGAAAACGACTGGAATTATATATCTAATCAGATAAACCGCCCGAGACTCAGTTTAATCGTTAATTAGACATGTTTTACCATGTAAGTATTTGTTTTTAAAATTAAGCTGATGGCTATATTAGCCGAGAATTAACGCTTTATTCTCAAGTAATTTCCAACGCGCGAATTTTGCATGCTTGGCTGTATTAATGTAGCTAAACAAAACTTCTCAAATGTTGTTTTGGTGCTGTGGCTCAAACACAACGATTCTTGACAACCCCATGTCACTGATAGCTTTTGGCCCACTGTGTTTACAGATTTCTCTTGAACACGAGATCTTACTCCATCCGAGGTATTTTGGTCCCAATCTGCTGAACACTGTAAAACAGAAACTATTTACAGAAGTGGAAGGAACATGCACTGGAAAGTGAGTATTTCTCCTACATGAAAGAATAAGGGATGCATTGATTTTGGAATTCTAGAACAATGCTTTGTGGTTACAAAATTGTTGTTTTTAATTTTCAAATAATTACCTTATAACAGTTATGGGGCAGTAGTGGCTTAGTGGTTAAGGAAGCATGGCTCTGAGCATGGCTCTGTCCCCACTCACTGCTTCCCGGGCACTTAAAGCTGCCCACTGTTCACCTTGGTGATGAGTTAAAAGCAGAGGTCACATTTGGTTGTGTGCTGTGTCACAATGGCAAGTAGTTCACTTTCCTTTCCTTTCCTTATTTAACTCTCCATATGGTAGAATGTATGTATATAATAACATGTAAATACTATATGCTATGCTTTTTGTGTTGCAAGTTGTTTGTTTTTTGTTCATATTATATCATATCAAATTGTATACATGCATTATCTGCTGCTGTAATATTCTTATTACCTGCCTAGAGATTTTTTTTTATTAAAGTGATGGTGTGGTATTTATAAATTATACATACCTCAAAAGGTTTGTACTTACCCTCCGAAAATCATGTAACAACAACAACTACTTTGATATAACCTTGGACAACTTGACAACTGGGAACATAATAAAAAGTTAAGAATTTATCAAAACCTTTTTTTAATGAGCTCCATTTTAATGTCGTTGACCTTATTGACCATTCATGTAATGCAGACTCACAAATGTATGCATTTTCTTTCAGGTATGGCTTTGTTATTGCAGTCACCACTATTGACAACATTGGTGCTGGTGTAATTCAGCCAGGCAGAGGTTTTGTGCTGTACCCAGTAAAATATAAGGCCATTGTGTTCCGTCCATTTAAGGGTGAAGTGGTGGATGCTGTGGTAACTCAGGTTAATAAGGTGAGGAAAAGATTATACATGAATCATTATGACCCTTGTATTTTCTTCCATTTTTAAAAACGTCCCCAATAATATAAAAATGTATTTAATTGTCTGTATCATGTGCTTAATAATAGTAATTGGAAATTATGTAATGTCTTCTATGTTAAACACTTTCAAAAGCATCTTGCTTTTGATTATGATACTTTACTAAAGCATGTTGTTGGCATTTGTTTTTATTCAAAATGTTGTTTTTTACAGGTTGGATTGTTCACAGAAATTGGTCCCATGTCATGCTTCATTTCCCGCCATGTAAGTCAGTGTAACAATCAGCCACCAATGGTTTATTGTAAAATGTTTTATGTTAAATTTTTAATGGCGAACGTTTGTTTTGCAGTCCATTCCGTCGGAGATGGAGTTTGACCCAAATTCTAATCCACCCTGTTATAAGACAGTGGATGAGGTAAGAATAAAGGGTGTTGCACCTTTGTCGCAAGAAAAATATAACATACAAGCCTTCACAAACAATAAAAATTAATATTTAAATGGTTAACACTTTTACTTAATTATATATTAGAATATTGTGAGCATAGAAGATTGGTGTAATTTTTAAGTGTAAACACCGCAGTTTCAGCCATTTTATCTCTGTTCTAAACTAATTGCTTTGCACCTCTGTTATGTTTTTTTAAGGACATAGTAATTCAACAAGACGATGAGATCAGGCTTAAAATTGTGGGTACGCGAGTGGACAAAAATGACATTGTAAGTGTAGTCCTAGTTACATTTTGAGTTAGATGTTTAAAAATATAATTTTTATGAATTAGTTTTATAAAAAAAGTTATGTACTGTTTTAATTGTTGATTTGCTTGTTTACCAGTTTGCTATTGGATCTCTCATGGATGATTATCTGGGTAAGTGTTACACCATAGAACATTGTGCTAATCAGAAAACTGTAGCTTTATTATTCTTATTGGTTTTGTAATAGTTGTTATATATTTGATAGTTCAGCAGAGCTGTGTGTATCGTTTATTCCAATTCCTATAATTTGTCATCCTTTATGTGCATAAATTGATAGCAAAACAAACGTAACTGATTAAATTACTATAGTATTTGTTTATATTTCTGTAGTTGATATCTATCTTATTTCTAAAACTAACCTTGTTTCTGTAGGTCTTGTGAGCTAATTCTGCAGAATCAGGTGATGATGGAACCTGCAGTCCAGTGCTACATTTTTTTTACTAATACTGTACAGATAACAGTTCTTTTTTTTAGTGGTCCATGGTGCAAAGAAACTTGATGCATTACATGTAGAACTCAATAAGTCCATCTAATTAAGTATTGTATTTTGCTTGTGGGCTGTAATAAAATGTTTTACATGTTCTTACATCTTTGTATCTGTGTTTTTAGTGTCACATGCTTATATTATCCTATTGTTAAGGGGATTTTTTTTTTTAATTATTTTTGTACATTGTGAGTATTTTGTTGGTATATTTTTTAGTCATGCTAAAATATAGCAAACGTATGACACTACAACATGAGAACGCGGATAATCTCCAGTACGCGCACGCCTTGTGGACGTAAATACGTCAGAGGACCGCGCCGACGTTCTTTCTTTCTCTCGTCCTGAAGATGGCGGCAGGGGTGAGTAAGATGGAGAAAGCTCAATGATGGAGATTTTTACTAGTCGTTTCGGGTGTAATCCGTTATAAATCAAATGCATCCACCGTTCCAAATTGAAGCTTTCAATGAAACCAATGTCTCATATGTATTATGAACCTGATACGGTCGCTATTTGTGAAAATATCCATTCAGTTACCTTTCCAACCGAGGTTAGCTTTAGCTATACTGACGTCGCATTGAAAGTGAATGACGCCCCTTTCCTGGTCCTAGCTGTTGCCACGTTACCTTTGCTATTTACCTGCCGTTTATTTTTGCTGGGTTTCTTTTTCGTGTAATAATTCTAAAGCTGTCCTTTGGACGGCTCATGTTGTCGTCTGAACTTTGGGCAATTGTTTCATTGAATTGTACAGTTCGTGGCCGGTGGTTACTTCTTAGCAGTTGCAACGAGCTCAAAAGCAGCCACGTGAATAATTAAAATTTCTTTCTGCACCCAATTAAACAAGTACATTTCCAGAGACATCATCCTTATTCGGTATTATTCTTGGTCAGCAAACTGTCGGGACCTGGGTGACATCATTCATTTCATTTAGCTTCCACGTTGCCTGTCTCTTTAACATTAATGCAATTCTTTCGTAATTCAATAGGCCTTTAAACACACTCTGTCAGAGTATTACTCGATTCAACCATTAAAATAAAGTTTTTGTAAGGCAACTGTGTATGTGCAGCTGAAAGTATTTAAATGTACTTGCGTTATGATTTGTTGAATGTTACTTCATTATAAATTGAGATACAAGTAGAACGTGTTTTACTTTTTGCCTGGTCTGTGTCTTGTTCAGTTAAATTGTAATTGTAATATAATTGTTATTTAGTATTGGCAGTTTAGCATCATTTACAGTGATTCTGTTGCTTTTAACTGATACATATGTTGGTGTTTTATCTGATGCTCTCAGACTCTCTACACATACCCAGAGAACTGGCGGGCATTCAAGGCCCAGATTGCAGCCCAGTACAGTGGCGCTGCCCTGAAAGTTGCCAGCACCACCCCTGCCTTCACCTTCGGGCAGACAAACCGTACTCCTGCTTTTCTCCAGAACTTCCCTCTTGGCAAGGTATACTCTATTGGTTTAGTGGAATGAATATAATCTCTGCAGAATATCCCTCTCTGCAGTAAATGTATTGTCATTGTGAGCAGCTTTTATCTGCACATTTGTATTTCTTTGTCATTAAAACAAAGTCTGCATTTAATCTGTAATCCACCCAGTGCATTAAATTTTTATTTTGCTTGTAGGTACCAGCTTACCAGGGAGATGACGGCTTCTGTCTGTTTGAGAGCAATGCCATTGCTCATTACTGTAAGTGTCCTTTAAGGAAAATTGAATTTTACATTTTCATGATGAGGATGAATTGTACTTGTATATTACACCTTAACCTGCATTCAATTGAATTTGCTTAATTTTGATTTCTTGTGCTCAAGTGTGATTACCTGTTATCATCCTGCCAATTATTTGCTTTTATTTATGATTTGTAGATATTTTGGTCAAATACCAAAGGACTGGCTGATCTTATTGCTTCAAATCTATTTGTGTAATAAGAGTCACTGCACTTGTTTTTTTTTAATATGAGAGTGTCTCACATTTGAGTCTGATTGTTGTGTTCTTTCTGACTGCTGCCAAGTCCCTTCACTGTGATGACTGAATCATCTGCTGAGTGTTAGTGTCTTTGTAATGAAGCTTCTTTGAAAAATAAAATGAATGCATTCATCGGAGTGGGTTACTGAGGGGTCAACAAAGTTGACCATAGACAATGAAGTGACTTGAAATCTAGGTTTTAACTTTAACAAATTTGAAACTTGCACACACTTTGGTATTAATTTTTTTCTTTAACTTTTAGTGAGCAATGAGGCCCTGCGTGGTGCCACCCCCCAGGCCGCAGCACAGGTGCTCCAGTGGGTGAGCTTTGCTGACTCGGAGATCATCCCTCCAGCCAGCACATGGGTATTTCCCACTCTAGGAATCATGCAGTTCAACAAGCAGGTGGGTGCCTAGACATTTTGCTTACCAGGATAATATACATTTATTTGACTTGTGGAATGTTAATGGTGTCACAACCAATGTTCAGTTTGAACTGCTATCAAAGCACAATTCTAGTACTAAGAGTTTTTGTTTTTAAAGTGAGGTTTTTATCTGCTTCTGTTCAGGCCACAGAACAGGCCAAGGAGGACGTAAAGAGAGCTCTGACGGTGCTGAACCAGCACCTGAACACCCGCACCTTCCTTGTGGGTGAGAGAATTAGCCTGGCTGACATCACTGTGGTCTGCTCCATGCTCTGGCTTTACAAACAGGTTTGACCTGCACCACCTTATTTGCAGCCTTACACTCATTTATCAGTTATTTGGGTTAACATGCTCGGGAATGCACCTTTTGTCTGCCCTGCAGGTCCTTGAGCCTTCTTTCCGTCAGCCGTACAACAATGTGAACCGTTGGTTTATCACCTGTATCAACCAGCCCCAGTTTAAGGTGGTTCTTGGTGAGGTGAAGCTGTGTGAAAAGATGGCTCAGTTTGATGGTAAGATCGAAGAGATTTTTAAATGTTTTTTCTGATCATTAAGTTAATTACTCTTCATTAACTTGATGGTCACTACCTTAACATCATCTGTAGTGATGTTTCATTTATAATTAATTGCCTATGTGCTCACCAGATACTATCACAGTGTAAGAGTAATGTTAGCACATTCAGCGGATGAAGTGGAGCAAACCGCTCAGATGTAACTCATCTGTTGGTGTCCTGGGTTCTCACCCTTGTTTCCCACTTTTTGTTTTTAAAGGAACAAAGGCAGGACTCTTTGTCTCCATTGATTATTTCCCTATCTTACTGGAATCTTGGCCACACCATTTTAATCTGATTTCACCCGTTCTGTTTGATTTAAAGAAATTTCTTTCGTGCATTTCTACGTGTGCAAACTGAAAATAAAAGGGCATGCAATACACGCTGTTTCCAAAACTCTGCAGCCAAAGACTTGTCCTAGAGAAAGACAAACGCAAGACAGATGATTGGAACGCCGACTCGAACATTTAACTGCAACATTATTTTTCATTGTTCGTTGTTCAGCCAAGAAGTTTGCTGAAATGCAGCCCAAGAAAGAGGCCGCTCCTAAGAAAGAAAAAGCACCAAAAGAGGCAGCCAAGCCCCAGGAGAAGAAAGAAAAGAAAAAGGAGGAGAAGAAGGAGGAGAAGAAGCCTGCCCCTGAAGAGGATATGGACGACTGTGACGCTGCTTTGGCTGCTGAGCCAAAGAGCAAGGACCCTTTTGCACACCTGCCAAAGAGGTAAACATGCGCCGGCTCAGTGTGTTGGCTGATTGGGTTGATGAAAAGACTGAAGTACAGTGTCATAGGCATTGGTCCCCTGTCTTTGGGCAAGGCAGTGTCCACTTATGGCACCATGTCTTAATCTGACAGGGGAAGAAAAGTTTGATTCCATATTCATCCCAGTCACCTCTGAATCAGTGAGTTAAAGGCTGGTTCATGCTGTGGGCACAAAATAAGTTGAAAAGATATGGCTGTTTTATAGTTAATATTTACCTGCTTTATTAAAGTAAGACACATCCATGAATAGATAAATGTAGGGGGAATATTTTGTTGTTTTTCAATGTGGATTGTTTTTACTAAAGCAAGGGCATGCATACAATTTTTTTTTTTTTTTTTTTTTTCTATTTTAGCACATTCGTCATGATTGAGTTCAAGAGAAAGTACTCCAACGAGGACACTCTGGCAGTAGCCATTCCCCACTTCTGGGATAACTTCGACAAGGAGGGTTACTCCATCTGGTACAGCCAGTACAAATACTCTGATGAGCTGACACTTACCTTCAAAAGCTGCAACCTTATCACTGGTAAGAATCAATATTGATATATACACGTGTGTGTGTATTGATGGGTGTCGTGCTGGTCTATATTCATTAACCAATTATGACGTGTTTTTAATCTTGGTCCTACATTGGCTTCCCCATTAAGAATTGCTTCCAGACAGCTGAATAGATCAACTTTCTTGTTTTAACCTCCCACTTGTAACAAAATCTAATAATACTTAAGTTGGTTAATTGTGATTTAATGAGAAAAGGCAATTAGCACAGGTTCAAAGTTAAGCAGAAAATATAATTTATTTCTAAGGCCAGTTCAATGTTCATTATATTCACTCTTGTACTTTTCTAAGTGTTGCACATCATGTGATTTTTGTCCAATCACAAAAACTGAGCAGTCATCAATCTTAATAAAGCTGCTTCAGCCCTGCCTAAAACCAGAGCTGATTGTCTTTGATGTGCACAGATAACAGGTCTGACTTGGTAAAACGTGACTCCTTCAGTCAACAAGAATTAAACTCCTGGGGTTCAGTTTGCATTTGAATGACATTTCAACAACAATTAAACTCCCGGGGTTCAGTTTGCATTTGAATGACATTGGTCATTTGTTAAACCTTAAAGGTTGATCATTGATTCATCACTGAACTTAATTTAGTTTACCAGCAAGTTAATTGATTGTAAACAGATGTCACTGCAACGGAAGTCATTATTGTGATCTTTGCTGTCGTTCCCTCGTCTTTGGGCAAGGCGGTGTCCGATCATGGCACTCAGTCTTAATCTGATGAGGGAAGAGAACTTTTAGCCATATTCATCCCAGTCATCTCTGTTTGGTGAGCAATAGGCTGGTTCATGCTATGGTTACAGTAGAACTTGTCCTAAATGTCAACTTTTTTTTTTTTTTTTTTTCACAACTGGAAACAGTTTGATCCACTCCTGACCATTCAAATGTCTTTCTGTCTCTCTGAGGACACATTTGTGTCCTGGAAATGTCATTCATTGTTGATAAGGTTTGTCTGTTTTGCAACAGGTATGTTCCAGCGCCTTGACAAACTCAGAAAGAATGCCTTTGCCAGCGTCATCTTGTTTGGCACTGACAACAACAGCAGCATCTCTGGCATCTGGGTCTTCAGAGGCCAGGAACTGGCCTTCCCTGTAAGTTCAGACATTTTGTTCCAGTGCTGTTCAATAGATAATCCTAGTTAGACCATACTCTAGGTTAGTAATCCCTAAATAAATTGATGTTCCCTGTCATTGGGCAAGGCAGTGTCCAAACATGGCACTAAGTCTTAATCTGATGGGGGAAGATAAAACTGACCACATTCATCCCAGTCATCTCTGAATCAGTGAGTCAATAGGCTGGTTCATGCTGTGGCCACAATCAACATTATTAAAAACCTACATTTTAGTTTGAATTTCATTTGTTCTGCACTGATGTAGAACCCTTAACAAGATGCTAATAAATATGCTAAATACCTAAAAACTTGAGAGCCACTGTGTCTTAAAGGTTGTGCTCAAATGCCCAACAATTGGTTATGGTGCCTCAAGTTTTCTGCTGAGATTTAATGTTGGCTAGATCCTAACTTTTTTTTTCCCCCCAACTTCCTTCCCCCAAAGCTCTAAGCAGATTGGCAGATTGATTACGAATCATACGACTGGCGCAAGCTTGATTCAGACAGCGAGGAGTGCAAGACAATGGTGAAGGAATACTTCGCCTGGGAGGGAGACTTCAAGCACGTGGGTAAAGCCTTCAACCAGGGTAAAATCTTCAAGTGAGAGAGAAAGACACAAGCAAGTCTGAAACAAAAAGCACTCTGCTCTCCACACATGAAACCAATGGACTTATCCAACATGCGTGCGCTTATTTACAAAAATGACAGTGTTGAGACGAGTGAGTTTTGTCTCAGTGGCCCCAAACTGTTTTTTTGTTTGACCTGAGAAATAAAGCATTTTCAATAATGCCATCAGTGGAATTTTGGTGTCTGCTCAGTCTCTGTTTTAAAGCTTTCCATCAAAAACAGTTTCCATTCACAGGCTTTAAAATAAAAAAACAGAAGCAGCCTGCTGAGGATTTGACTAGGCTGTATTAAAAATATAGGCTAGTAATCTGCATAATATTACCCACATAATTGGTTGGCAAATGCATTCATAAGTTTTGATTGTGGAGGTACTGCATTTTGAGTTTTTTTTCCTCTAATGTCCATCTGCAGTGGATTGTAGAAATGTATGATCTTGTTCATATACAGATGCAAACAAAATTGACCTGCAGTGATGCCTTCAGAAGTGGATGGAGCAAATGGAGTTGACGGCCTGTTCCTTTGACCAGTTAGTCACAGGGTTTGTCTGGTGCTAACCTTTGTGTGTTGTTGGGTGTACCTGTGGTACATTTGCTGGCTGCGGTCCTCCATGTTGACAGCTTGGTCTTATACAGTCAACCATCACTGGCTGTGATGCAGTTTGAGGACCAGGGGAATGTTTGTCCCAGGTCTCACTCATCACATCCTGAGGTTTGGGAGTTTTGTGTCTTTATATGCATATACTGACATTGTTAGGCCATTGTTAACTCAGTCATATCTTCTCTTTCCATGTCCAAGCCACATTTTTATGCGATCTCCAGCCTGTGTGTGTTTAACAAAATGTTGGACATACAGCTTGGTTTTCAATCCTCCCGGAATTGTTCTTCATGAAAGCTGCTGCATAGCATTATAAGATGGTTGAGTTTGAAATTACACCCATGGTTGTTTAACTGACATGTCTGAAAGGAGACATGTTAGGACTGTCTGCTTTCTAATTGAAAGTGACTTGAGGGCAGAAAACATGCAGACGTTTTCAGCAGAGGTAATGGCAGCTCTATCTCAAATAACCACCTCTTAAAACCAGAACAGATGGAGTAGGCCAACAGAAAACGTGTTAAAACCAGTGAAACAGGTTTGATATGGCAAATTTACACTTGACAGTGTTTTTTTATGTTTTATCCTGCCACGGTGTACATTTCTGATTTCTGGAAAAAAAACCACTTTTTGTCGACATCAAACTGTTGATTGTGGCACAAATTTCAAACGTCCAATCCAAATCACATCGCTATGCAAAGATGCAGAGTGAGCACTGGAGACATAATGTAGGCATGTAGATTATATTAAATACACATCTTCTAGAACAGGGGTCACCAATGGGGCTTTTAAAATCAGTTACACTTGCAACAATATTCAAATGGGTGCAATTACGATGGTAAAAAGAGTGTCTGCTATTGTATGTCCCAGAACTAATTATTATTACATTGTTTGTGAAGTCTGTATTAAAAAAATATCTCTCTGTATTACGAAGTTCCCCTGAAGTAGCTCTCAATTACAAAAAGCTTGATCTAGAACCACAGCGGTTTTTAGATTTGCAATTTTCTCTAAATCCTGCAGAGGGCAAAAGAAGACTTGACACAGAAGCTGTTGGGCCTGTTGAAAGAGAACATCCAGCAGGGGGAAGAAAGGCTTGGGCAGAGCTCTGTAGTTTGCTCAAACTTAAACAAGAATTCCATCTGCTTCAAACTAAAGGTTCTTGTTGTAATGTAGCTTTTTCGTCTCCCAAAGAGTGGAAATCTGGGACAAATCTGTATCAGGGCCATTGAAAATGTCATTTTGAGAGCATGGTTTAAATGAAAGACACTCATATGTCATGCATTTAAAATGTAGAGTATATCTGAGCTCTGACGTCACACTGCGCTCTCTGGGCAACACTGAAGCACCCGCCTCTGCTACCATCCGTGTGACCATACTGGACCATCACATTTACACACTCGTGGCCACAGGGTTCTCTGTCTGTTTGTTCCCTGATGAAAGGTTAAACTTAGAAGTAATCTGAGTAAATCCCCTGATGAAATGTTAAACTTAGAAGTAATCTGAGTAAATGTCCAGAATTTTCAGTACATAGGTAACAAAATGTTTGCACATCAGCCTGTATACTCACTGAGGTCTGTCAGCAATGCATTTGTTTGTTGTACTTTTGTCAGCAAAAGTAGAACAGCTAAACCAACCCATGATAATCTGTTTGATATTTGGATTACTTGTCACTGTGCTTATTTTTCCACACTTAACTTTGAATATTGTGTTTTCTTGGCGGCAGGTTTCTGAAGCACAGGATGAATCCCTCTTTGTTTCTCTGTTCTTCTCATTTTTTCCTCTCATACACAGATGAGAGATGCACAAGAGAGAACTCACATCTCACTGTGAGTCACTCTGGTCATTTTTTCCAGCTTAGTAAGCATGATTCAGGACCACTTTGGCGCAACCATCTTCCACCATAGCTTTTGAATCACGGAGGCCATTTTAGTTTGTTCTGTGGTCTCATGGAAATCAGAAAATGGAAATGTTCCCAGTGCACAGCGCGGTCCTTGAACACATGACTCACCCATCCTGTGGATCACGGTGGAAGAGGGCTGTAACTTGAGCAAATAACTTTGACTTCACCCACAGCATCGCAGCAGAACAACACTCCTGAGGCTAACCCTTTGATTGCTGAAGAAGTGCTGCGCCAGAAGCCTTTTCTCAATTTTAGTAAAATGTGAACTTAGTGTGAACAGATTGAAAGCTCTTTTAAGCCTTTTAAAGTCGTTTGCCTCTGTTATGTACAGTTGAGACAGTATTTATGGCCCTTCGTCTCTGCATCTAGTTACCTCAGAGTTAAAAGGCTGAAGTAAAGCAAACCGCAAGAACAATGTGCACTTATGCCAATGGCAACAACATTTTTCTTCCACCTCTGCCAACCGTTCTCTCGTTGGTTTCTTTTCTGTCTTGGCCACACACTCACCGCTCTTTCCTTCCTCTCCTTCACTCCCCGGATATTTTCTTTTTTTCCTGCGTCCGTGCGAGAGAGAGTGGATTTTATTTTTTAAAGCAGTTGCAGCAGTGAGGAGCGCTGGTGAGGGAGGAACAGAGAGAGAAACAGAGAGAGAGGCCCTATTGTTTCACCACACAAGGTCTCTGTGTAGCTGTCAGCCCCCTGTAGGAGCTCCAGGCATGGAATGCATGTGCTGAGCATATGCTGGTGCAAGATACACATCTGGAATAGACTGAGGCAGTCAGTGGAGGGCTTGGAACGGTGAGGTGGTGGAATAACGCTGCAGAGAGCTTGACGTTAGCGTCGGACACAGTTTGGTGAAAAGCTCTAGAAATTCCTGTCAGATGGGTTCAGCATGTTTTTGTCTCTAAATAATGACAGGTCTAATAAGACGAGAGACAGTGCAGATTTATCTCTGGGTGACCAGACCAGAATCCCCCCTCAGGCAGCTTTGAGTGTGTCACTGTTGTGGGACGTCCCTTGCTGGGACATTCAGGCCACTCAGCCACTATAGTCCCACCCTCAACTTTTTATGGCATTTTCCCCAGGCTCTAGTCTGAGGTTGGGCTTCTAGTCGCACAAAAAAATACATTTAACTCGGGCAAGAGGGATGGGGGCAGGAAAATAGATCCTTAGTCAGCACTTGAGGGTTACTTCATGTCACCCTTGGTTTCTTTACATATGAGGCAGAGGCCAGGACATGGGGGATAATTACATGTTATGTAGACAAAAAATGAAATAAATCTGTGGAAACAATCAATATGGACAGAAATGTCAACAGCCAAGAATTTATATACTGTACGAGGAAAGAAGTGGCTATCTGCGACACTGATTTGCTCAATTTCTCTGGATCGGACGAGGGGCGTTTCTGACTAAAAAGAGGTCTCAGCTGCACTCCTCTGCAGACTTTAAATTTTCAGCCCAGGAATGGAATGAAGAAGGTCAAAGGTGCATCTGCTGAGGGGAAATAGCTGAAGAAGTCAGGCAGAGCTTGAATGTTATATAGTAGCTGAGCCGGACTGCTAGGAATGCCCGTAGGTAAACAGCTTTAAACAGGTCAGTGTTTAGAAAAGTGATTATTACAACCACATATTTTCTGGGCCAGTTGGCGTTGCCCTGCAACAGAGGGTCCCTGCTGTGTGAGAGCAAGGGGGAAAAGTGTGTGACACAAGGCAAAGAGGAGAGGTAGTGTCGTGTGGAGAGAAAACAGACAGCCCCTGCAATTTTGGAGATGAAACCCCAGTGGTGCGTGTAGCTCAAGTTACCAGAAATCTTGAGGTGGGGCATGAGGAGTGTTGTAGTCGAACTACAGCAGGACTGGAGTATACACAGCCATGACGACCTGGCAGAGACATTAATGGCTGCCCTTGATAAACACAGTTATGTAATACAATGGAAAAAAACACAAACACATTCTGGCCCTTTCACTTTGCTCCCTTTTCAGCTTCGAAACATCTTTGCATCCCTGTAATTCCTGTTTCTAATCACCATCCTATTGTAATAGTGTCAGCTACTTTGTGGTTTGGGTGTGTACTGGCCCTTCAATCTTCAGAACGGTCCCTATCTATTATCCTACCATGAAACATGACAGGCCCTTTCTTGTAAATAGGTAAATTGTGGGTTCAAGGTCCATATTCAGCAGTTTACAGCGACTTACATTACATTATACTTTAATTACAAGAGATTCTCTCATCGCAGCACCGTGTGAATTAAAAAAGCCGTCTAGACCCTAGATGAGCTTTTCAGCCAGGATGCGAAAAACTCAACAGGACCTCTGTGCGAGAAAGAAGTAACTGTTGCTGCGTGTATTGACTCGTCAGAGTTTTCTATTTCACCTGATGAAAGAGTTGGAGCTTTGGAACTTCTGCAGCTATGACTGGAATTTGCAGCTAAGAAAGGTTAACTGTGGTGTGGAGGCACCGCTGATAGGAGAAGACAGACGCAGGAGGAACTGTTAAAAAACACCACTGATTGTTTCCTTTATTTATACTTAATTTAGATCAAGCTGACTGGCTAGTTGGCAATCAAAAGGCTAGCTATCGTTTTCTCTGACTGAACCATAATTTATAAAAATCTTTCTGTCTATCTCTCTCTCTATATACAGTAGCTAGCTTTCTATCCAGCTATGTATTTATAAAGCTGGCTA